ATCAGGGCACCGACGGCCGACTAAAACCAGACGCGCGTACTTTGATGTGTGCTTTGCGTCGGTCGTCAGTGCCCTCAGCTGCTTAAAACAACTCCTGAAGTGCTGACACTTCTCCTACACACCGGGCTTACTTCCCCTCAATCTTTATTGCAGGCTTATGCCAAATTTTCTGGTGCTCCCCTGACAGTGAATACTATAACTAACTCATGGAGAGCTCCCAAAGGTACCATCCTTGAGTTCTTTATTCTTTTAAACATAGCCAGGTTATAAATGTGGATTCCACTTTCTGTGTTATTCCTGCCTTTGCTTCGGTTTTGTGTTCAAGGGTGTAAGCTGGCCCAGTGAGGGCTGCCTGCTTTCACCACGCATCGGTAAGTGACTGCAGGATCAAGTGTGATGAATCTGTGGGAATAAAATAAAGGAAGACAAAGTGCCTCAGAGGACACTTATTAAAATGGGTTGGGTGAAGCAGCGGGCACTCAACAAAGCACTGGTGCCAAGGACATACCTGTTCCTGTCAGCCGTCTAAATTGTTGGTATAATGAAAACAAATTTTTAAGCTTTTTTCACCGTGCCTATTTATGATGGCAGTAACTAGACTTGTGTATGGAAATAGTGTTATATAATTAAAGAATTATACATAATTTAATGGGCTGGTACAGCTGGAAGTGGCATGTGATCCTCAAAGAGTTATTAACTTGCACCAGCTGGGATGTTTAGTACTGTGCTGAGTTAAGAGAGGTTAATTCAGAAAAGGTGACTAACAACCTAGTTGCTGGGGAAGTTGAAGATCAGGTGTCAGAGCGGACTTCTCTGTGTCGGATACTGATACGCATTGCTAATGTTTGCTTGGCACTGTTTTGGTGTATTCCAGAGAGGTAAAATCAGTGCAGGGTTAAAGTACTCTGTCATTTACACTTACCACATTATCAGTTTAGGCATTACTCTGTCCATGCAAAAGTAGTGCCTTTGACTCTTGCTTTTAAGCTTATTGTTTTCTGTTAGCAGAAAATACCACGAACTAGCTGGGTGTACTTGCCAAATACTTAATAGCCAAAACACATAATATCTGTTAAGAAAAAGATCCAAATAGTAAGTGTTGCTGATAATTGTTTCTTTAACAGTATTTAGCAGCACAGTCATGTTAGGCTCATTGTGGCAGTTACATTGTGAATTTGCTAGAAGATAACCCTATTACAGAGATTTTACACTCTACAGTCTTTGATCCTGCAATCTGATGAGTAACATCTGACCAGTAACGTCTGAAATCCAGATAAGTAGCCTGGTTCTCAAAGCATCAGTGATTTATCAGAAGACACTGGTTTCAGTCTGATTTGACATAGGCTTTTTCTTATGTGTTGTTATTAATGAAGGCCTTAATACCCTAGATGTATCTGTGACCTTGGCAGAACTCGCCTACTAGGTAAAGCCTATTTTATGCTTACATGTTTGTAAGATCAGAACATGCTATGGAGAAGAGGAAATTAGATGAAGTGACTTGATTGCTTTCTAATTAAGTTAGAACATATAAATTGTTGACCATATTATTTATGCCTTCTAGGGGATGTGCCAGTCCTTATATCAGAAGACATTGTTATTTCTCAGCCAGCAAAAATACTAAACTTCTTAAGAAAGCAGGTAGGTCTCTTCCAGAAAGTTTGTTTTCTCTCCCTTATAGTGGCTCTTCATGTCCCCTTTATACAATGATACAGGCTTCTGAAAACTTGGAGCTCGGTTCAGACCCAGAGCTTTCCTGTTGCTCATACATGCATGAGAATTTCAAAATGGTGGATTGTTGTTTGAAAGTTTGATGGTTAGTTATGTGAAACATATAAAAATAGACACGAGAAAAATATTCATTGAAAAGGACAACAAATTTGCCTTAATTGAGCAGTTTCTCACTGAGCACCCTGCTCCTAATTATAACACTTTTAACATCATTATGACTTTGCAGACTTAGGATATCGCAGTTTAGGAAGTGTGGTTTTAACTGCTTAAATGGATAATCATCTGTGAGTGCTCTTTTTTTTAAAGGATAATACAGCGTTGGTTTTAATCTACATAGTTTTTCTATAGCCTGTAGTGTAAAAATGTCTGCAAGCATTTCTTGATGCACATCATGTTCTCGTGTAGTCAACTCTTGCTTGCCTTTTGCAGATCTCTTCATGTTTTATTCACAAAGAATAAAGCTACACGATTTCTTCTTTGACAAAGTATAAAGATGTTTAGTAAAGCATTGCATCATCCTTTTATTTCTAAGATCGTCTTCCAGCTCACTATTCTGCTTTTACATTAGAAATCCAGTTCCTGCCTAGTCAAGATTTAAAGTGAAACTTTTAATCTTTGGGGGGAGAAAAGCAGAATTTGAAAACTGCCTATTTGAGGTAGGATTTTAGACAGTTGTTTTAAAATTCAGAAGTTTCACAGTAATTTGAATACCAAAGATTCATTAATGTTAGGAAAAAAAACCTCCTTAACTTAAAGGTTAAGAATAATATGCTCTGCTCTTGTGAGACCTCACTTGGAGTATTGTGTCCAGTTCTGGTGTCCTCAACATAAAAAGGACATGGAGCTGTTGGAGAAAGTCCAGAGGAGGGACACGAGGATGATAAGAGGACTGGAGCACCTCCCGTATGAAGACAGGCTGAGAAAGTTGGGGCTGTTCAGCCTGGAAAAGAGAAGGCTGCGTGGAGACCTCATAGCAGCCTTCCAGTATCTGAAGGGGGCCTACAAGGATGCTGGGGAGGGACTCTTCGTTAGGGACTCTAGTGGTAGGACAAGAGGTAATGGCTTTAAACTTAAACAGGGGAACTTTAGGTTAGATATGAGGAAGAAGTTCTTCACAGTGAGGGTGGTGAGGCACTGGAATAGGTTGCCCAAGGAAGTTGTGAATGCTCCAACCCTGGAGGTGTTCAAGGCCAGGCTGGACAGAGCCTTGGGCGACATAGTTTAGTGTGTGGTGTCCCTGCTTATGGCAGGGGGGTTGGAACTAGATGGTCTTAAGGTCCTTTCCAACCCTAACTATTCTATGATTCTTTATCTAAGGGCCAGCACTGACGCTTTGTTTCTAAATTGGCTGAGTGCATCTCCCCCTAAGAAAACCTTATCAACTCATTAAATATACCTTAAGAGAATCCAGTGTCAGAATTAAAAGCTCCATCAGCTGTAACTGCATTAATTTAGCTGTGCATTTGGTCTCTTATGTTGTTAGCATCCAATTTTTCGACTTTTAAAATGGTAATTAAAAGCAGAAGATGAGAATACGTGCCTTTTTATGCTTACGCCAGCTTAAGTGCCAGATGCTTCTTCAGAAATAAGGATGAGGACTTTCCAGAGGTTTGCTACATCCCTAAGTACTGAAAAAATGCCTCTGTATCACTGGACAGTTGGTTGGAAAGCAGTGGGAAGGAGGCGCAAGAGTTATTTTGGGAATAGGAGGGCCCAAAAATCTAAGAAAAGGGAGATGCAAGGAGGTTTGACATAGCTGGCCTGAAGAAGAAGGGAAATTCTAGTGAGTGCATGATTTCTGTCCTGAAAAATGTTATTACATTTGCTGACTTGATGGCTGTTAAGTTTGAAACGACTTCGGGTTGTACTCATCATCTTTTTGGAAAGTTCCCTGTAACACTCTTTGTAGTATATAATTTGTATTTATTTATTTAAATTTTTAGAAATACAATGCTGATTATGAATTGTCTGCAAAGCAAGGGGCTGATACATTAGCATATATTGCACTACTTGAAGAGAAGCTGCTTCCTGCTCTGGTAAGTATTGAGAAATACATTAATGGTCAGAATTTTTGGAAATGAATGCTACAGGAAGTGCCCACTGTGAGAGACATTGAAGTCTCTCAGCTATAGTCCTGGCTAGAATTAGTGCAATTTTGGAAATACTGCCTAGCAACTTTTGTAAAGGAAAGAAGAGTGTATTTCATGGAATCATAGAGTGGTTTGGGTTGGAATGGACCTTAAAGAGCAGGGACACCTTATACTACACCAGGTTGCTCAAGGCCCTGTCGAACACTGCTGCTTGGGCAGCCTGTTCCAATGCCTCACTACTCTCTGTCGTGGTTTAAGCCCAGCCAGTAACTCAGAACCATGCAGTTGCTCGCTCACTCCCCTCTCTTCTTCCCTTCCCCCTGCTCCTGGCAGGATAGGTTGAGGTAAGAACAGTCCAGTAACCAAAGTATAATACAAAACTGCTACTACTACCACCAGTAATAATAATGATAAGGGAAGTAACAAGGGGAGAGAATATAAAACTAAAAGAGGAAAAGGAAAACTATAAACACACCCGCTGACTGATACCCAGCCCAACTCCAGCAATGACCCCAGTGGCCTTCCTGGTAACTCCCCCCAGTTTATATACTAGTCATGACATGCTGTGGTATGGAATACCACTTTGGCTAGTTTGGGTCAGGTGTCCTGTCTCTGTTTCCTCCTGGCTTCCCTTGCCCCTCCTCACTGGCAGAGCATGAGAGACTGAAAAGTCTTTGATTGGGGTAAGTGCTACTGAGCAACAACTAAAACATTGGTGTGTTTCCAGCATTGTTCTCAGCCTAAAGCTGAAACACAGCACTGCTCCAGCTGCTAGGGAGGAGAAAAATAACTGCTACAGCTGAACCCAGGACACCCTCACAGTAAAGAATTTCTTCCTCACATCTAACCTGAATCTCCCCCATTTAAGTTTGAACTCATTACCCCTTGTGCTATCACTACAGTCCCTAATGAAGAGTCCCTCTCCAGCATCCTTATAGGCCCCCCCTCAGATACTGGAAGGCTGCTATGAGGTCTCTGCACAGTCTTCTCTTCTCCAGGCTGAACAGCCTCAATTTTCTCAGCCTGTCTTCATACAGGATGTGTTCTAGCCCCTGGTCATCATGTCCCTCCTCTGGACTTGCTCCAACAGCTCCATGTCCTTCTTATGCTGGGGACATCAGAGCTCCACACAGTACTGCCAAGTGAGGTCTCACAAGAGCAGAGTAGAGGGGCAGGATCACCTCCTTTGACCTGCTGGTCATGCTTCTTTTGATGCAGCCCAGGATACGGTTGGTTTCTGGGCTGTGAGCGCACACTGCTGGATCATGTTGTCTTGTCAACCAGCATGCCCAGGTCCTCTGCAGGGCTGCTCTGAATCTCTTCTCCACCCAATGTGTAGCTGTGCCTGTGATTGCCCCGACCCAGGTGCAGGACCTTGCACTTTGCTTTGTTGAACTTCATGAGGTTTACACTGGCCACCTCTCAAGCCTGTCAAGGTCCCTCTGGATGACATCCCTTCCTTCCAGCATATCAACCGAGCCACACAGCTTGGTGTCGTCGGCAAACTTGCTGAGGGCGCATCAATCCCACTGTCCATGCAGCTGTCAAAGATGTTGCACAGGATAGGACCCAGCAATGGCCCCTGAGGGACACCACTCGTTACTGGTCTCCAGCTGGACATTGAGCCGCTGACCACAACTCTTTGTGCAGCCATCCCGCCAGTTCTTTACCCACTGAGTGGTCCATCCATCAAATTGATGTCTCTGCAATTTAGAGACAAGGATGTCGTGTGGGACAGTGTCGAATGCTTTGCACAAGTCCAGGTAGATGACGTCAACTGCTCTGCCCCCATGCACCAGTTCTGTAGCCCCATCATAGAAGGCCACCAAATAGGTCAGGCAGGATTTCCCCTTAGTGAAACCATGCTGGCTGTCACCAACCACCTTGTTGTTTTTCATGTGCCTCAGCATGCTTTCCAGGAGAATCTGCTCAAGATTTTGCCGGGCACAGAGGTGAGACTGACTGGTCTGTAGTTCCCTGGGTCTTCCACCTTCCCCTTCTTGACAGTGGAGGTTATATTACCCTTCTTCTAGTCATGAGGAACTTCATCTGACTGCCATGATTTTTCAAATGTGATGGACAGTGGCTTAGCAACTTTATTCACTGTCTCCTTCAGGACTTCATCAGGTCCCATGGACTTGCGCACGTTCAAGTTCATAAGATGATCTTGAGCCTGATTCTCTCCTGCAGTGAGATCTTCATTCTCACAGTCCCTGCATCTGCCTTCCAAGGCTTGGGCAGTGTGGTCAGAGTGCTTGCTGGTGAAGACTGAGGCAAAGAAGTCATTAAGAACTTCATCCTTCTCCAAATCTAGGGTAGCCAGTTCTCCCGTTTCCTTCTGGAGAGGCCCTATCTGTAGACTTCCTTTTGGTGTCAACATAATATAGAAACAGCCCTTCCTGTTAGGTCTGAACATCCCTGGCCAGACTCAACTCTAACTAGGCTTTAGCTTTCCCAGCCCGATCCCTAGGTTCCCAGACAATGTCCTTGTTTTTCACCCAGGTTGCTTGTCCTTGGTTCCACCTTCTGTAAGCTTTTTTCCCTCTGAGTTTTCTCAGCAGTTCCTTATCCATCCACAGAGGCCTTCTGGCCTTCTTGCTGCATTTCCTTCTTGTCGGGATGCAGCGCTCCTGAACTTGGAGCAGGTTATCCTTGAGTATCAACCAGCACTATTGGGCCCCCCTGTCCTACATGACTCTATCCAATAGGAGCCTACTCAGCTGGTTCCTGAAGAGGCCGAAGTCTGCTCTCTCAAAGAGCAGGGCAGTGAGATTACTGCATGCCCTTCTCACTGCCCTCATGATCTCAAACTTCACCGTCTCGTGATCGCTGCAGCCAAAGCTGCCCTGGAGCATCACATTGCCCACTGGCCCCTCCTTGGTGAGCACGAGGTCAAGCATGGCACCTCTCCTTGTCGGCTTCTCTATCACTTGCATGAGTATCATGCAGTTCCACCCCCCGCCCCAGGCAGGGGCACCCTCCACCAGAACCGGGTCCCC